CTTTTAAAGTCTCTTGATGAAGCTTGATTAGGAAACAACACTCTGGGCTTATATACTCCTAACAATCGGTAACGTAAGCTATTTTACAAACATATTTACTGGTTCGTGAAGTGAGCTACTGAACAAGGCAATACGTGTAAGTTTTCTTAAGAAGTTGCTATTCACGTATAGGGTTAGTTTAGATATTAAAGCTCTTGTATTACTACAACACCTGGTAGTCTGCTGCTTGGCTGTATACTTTTAAAGTCAACTCCTTGACTCTGTAGTAATATTAAAACACAGTCATAAGGTGTTTCTTATTTAAGTTAATTATTAATTGAGATGCAACAGGAAAACGTGTAACGAAGCAAAGCGTATCCCAATATTTCACAGTTGTGAATCTATGCCGGCAGAGGGAGTTATTGAATTTTGTACATTTTAACAGCACGTAGTGTAATACTAAAAAAAACAGCCAATTAAAAATATAAAATCAGAAAGTTTTTTTAAATGTCCATAGAATGTTCCTTCCTGCATTTGTATGTTCTGTTCAGAGCTTGAATGTTTACTACAGAACAAAGATGGCCACCAGTGGTTGTTTCCATGCGCTAGGTATTTGATAGATATAGGTTAGCAACGTCTGTATAGCTGTACTGTGTGGTATTATTCGGGTTACAAGTGGTAGTAAATAATGTAAATTTTAACTACAGATCGATATCTCATTTTGTCTTATAAAATGTAGAGAGAAATAATATTTTTCACTATTGCAAAGATATATAAGCATGTTAATATTTAAACTGTGTATAAAATCATCAGTGTTACTTAATACAGTAAGTAGATGATATTGTAAAGACCGAGGAAATACAACATAGATAACATTGTAATAGACAAGTAAGTTTACAACAATACAATATATGTTATTGTGGCGATCAAGTAGATTGATAACAGTAACGTTAAATGACATGGTTGTGGTCAAGTAGATTGATAACAATAACTTTAAATGACATGGTAGTGGTCAAGTAGATTGATAACAGTAACTTTAAATGACATGGTAGTGGTCAAGTAGATTGATAACAGTAACGTTAAATGACACGGTAGTGGTCAAGTAGATTGATAACAGTAACTTTAAATGACATGGTAGTGGTCAAGTACATTGATAACAGTAACTTTAAATGACATGGTAGTGGTCAAGTAGATTGATAACAGTAACTTTAAATGACATGGTAGTGGTCAAGTAGATTGATAACAGTAACTTTAAATGACATGGTGGTGGTCAAGTAGATTGATAACAGTAACTTTAAATGACATGGTAGTGGTCAAGTAGATTACCAACGATAACTTAGATCATTTATTCTGGTCTGTAGTTTCATGGTAGATGTATTATTCTGATATCAGTTTATCAATCAAAACTTCATAAAAACTTTCACCAAAAACAAAGACAGCAGAAATATCTAATTATGAGAGTTTCTTTCTATTTAAGTTATATCATTATATTAATAGAAAATAGATGATTCTATCTTTAAATGTTTTTAATCATTTAACGATATAGATAATAAATTAATCTTACAATCCTATAAAAACCCATACGTTTATCGCGCCCTCTTGTGAGTATAGTGATAACTGTTACAACTCACGCTTCAACAGCACCAGAATTTCCCAACAATGTTTTGTTACTATCAACCAGAGACTGGGAGGAGAATCAGTGACTTGTTCACTCGAAGGTTCAGTTTGTGTTCGATATAAAAACTGTTTACTGACAAGACAAATTTACCATTCACGGTAGATGTCACTTCAAAAGGAATCTGTCATTGAAAGCTGGCACACCTACCTGAGCTGGATACAATTGTGTGAGCTTCTTAGAATAAAAATACTGGATACGTTTTTGTATGAATCTCTTAATGTACTTTTCATGTCATTTCGTACGTGTTAATTGTCATATAATTCCTTCGAACACGTGTTGATGAAGGAACGTGACATTGTAAGAAAATAATTATCCCGAGTAACTATCCGTTCTTAGTCTAACAGACATTGAGGTCGTTTTGAAGCACCTTTCACTGGTAGAACTCACTCATCCAAACCTCACACTCGTTCTGAATCGCCTTTCACTGGTAGAACTCACTCATCCAAACCTTACACTCGTTCTGAATCACCTTTCACTGGTAGAACTCACTCATCCAAACTTTACAGTCATTCTAGAGCACCTTTCACTGGTAGAACTCACTCATCCAAACCTTACAGTCATTCTAGAGCACCTTTCACTGGTAGAACTCACTCATCCAAACCTTACAGTCGTTCTAGAGCACCTTTCACAGGTAGAACTCACTCATCCAAACCTTACAGTCATTCTAGAGCACCTTTCACTGGGAGAACTCACTCATCCAAACCTTACAGTCGTTATTAATCACCTTTCACTGGTAGAACTCACTCATCCAAACCTTACACTCGTTCTAAAGCACATTTTTTATTGCTTATAGTCTCGAAACGCAAGCACTGAGCTGTTATGGATCATTAAGCATTTCTTCGTGAAACAGATGGACCACAAGACAAGATACAGGCATTGAGCTATCGTGTTTTTATTTAATTATAAATATTAAGTGAGAAAAAGAAGGTGCCTCACATTTTTTATGTTATAACTTTTGAATTAAGAATTTGATTAAAAACTACCTGTAACGTTTCGATAATGACATGGTAGTGGTCAAGTAGATTGATAACATTTTGCCCCCCCCCAGTGGCACAGCGGAATGTCTGCAGACTTATACTGCTAGAAAACAGGTTTCGATACCCGTGATGTGCATAGCACAGAAAACCCATTGTGTAGCTTTGTGCTTAACTAGAAACAAACAAAAGAAATAAACAAGACTTGGATTTTAATATAATAAATCAGATTTCTTGACGTGCGCCAGAATCTCTCATAAAAATTGTTTTTCTAAGAAATAGGAAAGACTGTGAAAATATTTATATACATATGTAAACTTACACCCTCGAACTGGAGTAGCAAACCGAGGTGATATTTTATCATTGACCAGCTGGTATAGCTAGAGCTTAAAAAATATATGAAGTAATATAAGAAATAAAGTGAAGTTGTCATCCATAAGTTGTAAAGGGTTATCTTAACCCTAAAACCGGGTATCGACTGTCACTTTTCACATTGTTTTTCGACAAAATTACCACTATTAGTTTGTCAACCAACGTTTAAAAACTGTTAAGGAACATGAAGAAATTCATAATGTAATACAAGAAGAAATAAATGAGTCACGAACTGTGGTACTATCCGAATGTGGACATAAAACTTAACACTAACATTAACTCGTTAATCATACAAAAACCAGAAACAGCAATAAAGTTCAACGTTTGAAGGAATTATCCGAAACAAAAAGACAACCAGAGGAATAATATAATAAGTCAAATGCAGCACATTGAACACAAGGATAAAAAAAACACTTTAAAGGATAGTCCTCTCTTTGAACATTGAAACTAAACCAAACACTCCATATCCAGAACCAACATTAAAAATTCACAGAAGCTATACTGACCAAAACATTAAACTTTTCCTCTCTATCTCTCCTACTTATAATCCATATAATTCCATACCACATTTTTTATTTTTATTTTTTTTTTAAAATTGATATTTTTGGTAAATACCTACCGTATTGCCCCTAATTAACGCTCCCGGGGGCATTGCAAACTGCAAAAGGGGGGGGGGGCGCTAAGTCGAGACTAATTTGGTCATATGACGTGAATTAAGAGACACTTAAAGGGCTATGTTTTAAACCTAACATTGGTACAGTGCCATATTTTAATAGACGGTGTTATAGTATTTGTACAGTTCTGGATTTATTTTTCACATATGATTTGTTGATTTCAATGCTAATAAGTGTTTTTCTTCTTATTTTTTTAAAATTAAAATTACATTAATAAAGTGGATTACAGTCGAAGATCATATGTTGGATTACTATTGCAAGGTAAATTTTTATAATGTAACACGTTCACTGTCGAGAGTAATCGTTACACTTTAAATGTGTAACTGTTAGTCATACATCGTTTAATGATGAACCGTTTTTATAGGGTGGAACTTTACAGTGTTGATATTGAGTTGATTCATCCAATGGGAGCCTCATCTCTTAATAATATTCAAATTGTCTCTCGCCTAATGAATAACTATTTTATTAGCTTTGTGTTCAATAAATATATTATTGAGTTAGTCCAAATATTTATTTATTTGAGTTTTACTGCTTGTTATGTTCACTTTATAATGTTTGCTTGGAGAAAATTGTCATACACATATATATATAAGTTATGTACTCATACTTCATATGAAACGTGCTTTTTCTCCGAACACTAGACTTATATCCAGAACAACAGCTCTTACGGTTTGAATGCCTTTGGGACTAAGCATGAGTCTAATCAATTACATGTATTTTTTAACACTACATTTTGTATTCTTTCCCTTACGGTTTTTCGAGAAGTAAAATCTATAATAGTACTTCAACCACACTATGTCTCCCATATCCATTGCCGACGATAATAAAGAAGGTAGTGTTAAAAATACAATAACTCTGTTACTACTCTTTTGTTTAAAATATAAACGGCATCTACAATAATGTCCACAATTAGTCATTATTTTTATTTAATTAAAGTTGGAAAATCTATTTGTATTTTTAAATATTTGTGTAATTATTGTATTAAAGTGTTTTCTTAATTGTATAAGAGATGGCGCCACGCGACTAATAATTATAATGCTAAAAGTTAGTCGTAATCAAAATAATTAGTCGATTGAACAAAATTGCAGTCAATCTCAGATACTTTTGTTAGAGCTAATTGAAGTTAATTGCTAAGGTAACTGTTACTAAAAATTATTATAAACTTAAGAAAAAATTAGTTTCATTAACTGCAAATCATCGTTAATCAACCACAGCCTGATGGCTTATAACAGATAGCCCATAGTGTAGCTTTGTGCTTAACAACAAGATCAACCACATAATTTAAGATGTATTTAATAAACAGTTTTAAATATACAAACCATATAATATACATCGTCACATTTTTGTATTTATCTGTACAAAACATATTTACATAATAATACTATGAGCAATAATATAATCGAAAAGATAATGTAAACAAAACTTAACACACAGATGATATATTACAATGCAGGATAACGTGTTTTTTTTTCATATGTACATAAAAAAACAAGTCATGAATTAAATTGGAGCAGACTGGGTGCGAAGCTTTAATAGGCTCCAGTTGAAGCCGGTTGTGCCGTCTGGACCTTTGGGAAGCCTAATTACACCATCAGGGATCAGTAGCCGAGTATTATGAGTAGGAAAAGTGCATCCTCTTTCTCTTCCTTGCGTCAGTCGCCGTTGGACCCAAGGACTAATGAAGGGTTTTAATGAGTCACCATCAGAATGGTTGTTGGACATTGGACAGACTAAGGGTTTACTGATGTTTTGAGAACTTATGGGTCCATTAGAACTCCTGTGATTGGCAGTAAAAGTATTGCGACGAAATGTTGGTTCCTGGTTCCATTTTGGCCAAGTTGAGGTGGACTTTGGGCTGGCAGATAATCTGGTTGATTCTATAAACGATTTTCCTTTATCTGGACATCCATTGCCTGTGGGAGTTTCTCCTTTTCTAAGCTGTCCCGCACGAGCCTGTCGTTTTCCATTTTTCCTTTTCTTTAATTCATTTCCTTTGTTTTTATTTTCATCACCATTACTATTCACATTGAAATAATCTTTTGGAACAAGTGGAATGACTTGCATTGACCTCCAGTCAATACTCTTGGGAAAAAATCCATTCCAAGCGCGACAAGCACTCTCACGATTCTCAAACTCGACCAGGGCACAAACACTAGAACCTATTTCGGGATGCTTGTAAAGAAATGTCTTTATATCTGCCGGTATGGCTTTACTTGGATGAATGATTCTAATAAGAGTAATCGTGCCATATTTGGAAAATATTTCTCCAATTTTTTCCACTGTTGGCTTTTCAAAAGGTAATTTAAATGCAACTACAGTTCTAGATGGTGGTGTCTCATCGTAATCTGGTAATGGATCTTTACGCCGGACTTTGGTGCCTTCTTCGTTTATTTCTAATTCTTTTGAGTACCTTAAACTACAAGCAACGACTCTCCAGTTTTTTGTAAAGCTCTTAACTTTTCGAAAAGAGGTAATAAGTTTAAGACTTACATATCCCTGCTTGTTACGCCGGACATGTTTTAAAAGAAAGGGATCTTTCAGAAGGTTTGCATTTGAAAAGTAGTACTCTACTTGTTTCACGATATTTTCCACCACAACTTTGTCGGGTTGAGGAAAATCATCCGCATTCTTTGGACATTCTATTCCAGAATCCTTTTCCCCGTCGCTGTCAGTACCTTCTTTGCAACAATCCAGAGAATTCCCGTCTCCTTCATTAGTGCTACAGGTTGTCGAAGACCTGCAGTCGTAGCCTTCAACATCCAGGTTGTGAAAAGGAACTTCAGTTAATAAGCAGCCTTCACTTCCAGAATCTTCATTGTCAGTTTGGTCACAGATTGGCGATGGAGAAAAACAATTCTGCGTGTCCGCTGTGTTTAACATATTTACACTGGTATGGATGTCTAAAATCATGATTTAAAGTTTTAACCGTCCACCTTCTAACTCTCGTGTCCACAGAACACTGCAAAATACTCGCTCACTAGGTCCTGGACGATATTTATAAGCCCACATGTCCTATGGAATTTCACGGTCGCGTGGTGTTACCGTCTTTGGTGATTGGCCAAAAGTGTTGTGACGTCACATGTTTGTGAGGCAGGTCTAGAGTATGGGCAACTGCCAGAAACGGACGTGGAAGTAAACTAAAATATGACTGTTTATACATAATATTTTTTTAAAAAATTACCATTTATTGAACAACATTTGAAGATAGGCCGTATTGAACATGCGCGTGATCCAGTTTCTACGTCATAGGAGGTGGAGGGTCGGTGGTATGATTATCCCGTGACATTTGAGTAATAAGATAAACAAGTGGCGAGAGCTCGATAACAAATAACAGTAAAGGTGGCTGTTAAAAACAGATGCACGATTAATTATTTTTAAACATGTTTACCTATATTTGTATGTTAGGGAGAAATGGTTGTTTGTGTAATAAACTCAGGAAAACAACAGATGTTTGTGTATTAAACTGAAGTAAAACAACAGATGTTTGTGTATTAAACTGAAGGAAAACAACAGATGTTTGTGTATTAAACTGAATGAATACAACAGGTGTTTGTGTAATAAACTCAAGTGAAACAACAGATGTTTGTGTAATAAACTGAAGAAAAACAACAGATGTTTGTGTAATAAACTGAAGAAAACAACAGATGTTTGTGTAATAAACTCAGGAAAAACATCAGATGTTTGTGTATTAAACTGAATGAATACAACAGATGTTTGTGTAATAAACTCAGGAAAAACATCAGATGTTTGTGTATTAAACTGAATGAATACAACAGATGTTTGTGTATTAAACTCAGGAAAAACATCAGA